TACCAGAAGTTAGTCTTAATAGATCAGGCTGCTCCTATCCACTGCCTTGGGACCTGGGGATTCTCTTCCTGAAAGCCCTGGATAGCTGACCTAGCAGAGAGAAAGGGCAGAACCAATTTGGCCGGCCCAGGACAAAGGAGTCACCAAGACCCCAGCTTCAGAATTGAGAAGGGCCAGGCTGGTCAGGTGCCAGATTCACTCAACCCAGGCCCCCTGCCCTGTCCTTGTGCCAAGTGCTGGCTGGAACAGACAACACTTCTTTTCTCTGCTCCTGGCTTTTTGCAGGGAACTATAGATCCCCAGTCAGGCTTGTGTCTCCTGGGGGCTTCAGGAAGGTGCCAATCCAACCTTCTCTAAAGACACAGTGTTGTGGGCCTATGTTCAGCACCCTTAACTGGCAGTGAAGATGATTCTCCACTTCCTTGACAAAGCTTTGTCAGAGTGAGAGGTCCCTTTCCAGAAGGAGCAACAACCACTCTTGCCCAAAGGTGATGCAAAGGGAGGGGCACATACCTGCCCCAGTTATGCCAGGAATGTGGCTCCCCAGGCAGAGGACCAAAGGAGCCTTTCTGGGGGGTGGGGGAGGTGCTGGCTGGCTCAGGGGTGTTCCAAAAGTGAACAAGAGGTCAGAAAGTGGCCCAGATTTCACCCAGTTTCCAGTGTGAGTGGTACAGGTGTAGAGGGCCTGGAGACAGATTGGGAAGACTGGAGGGATGGGCTGGTTTCCAAGTGTGAGGACCTAGGACGAGGCTCAAAAGCCTCATCACTTACAGATCAGGAAATGGGGTGGGCAAGAAGATACCTCACTTCCATCCTAGACCTAAGCTCTTTGGGTGTTCTGACCTTGTCTTAACTTAGCATTCTGGTCTGCTTTCCAAACAGATCTAAGACACCATTTCAAGCTTCTTACAGTGATGTCCAGGGTCCTTGCTCTGCCCCACCCCATCTTCCACAAACCTTAAGACATCTCTTCAGCCTCCTTGGCTGTACCTATGAGTCTTCGGTCCTATATCTGCCCTCCCCTCCACCCCCACCACACACACACCTACTTCTGGGCTCTCCTCTGGTAAAATGCTGGTCTTTGAGTCTTGGGAACTAAGTATTCCTAAGTGTCGGCCATAGACAAGAGCACAGGAAGGAAGGCCTTCTTTCCATGATTCTTCTTCCTAGCTGTTCTCCTCCAAATTGGGCTCTGCTAGCACCAAAGCCAGAGTGCAGCATGGGGATAGCCGGCTTTGGTGTGATGCTAAACCTTGTTCTGTTACTCCCTACCATGACCTCTGATCTCAGGGATGTCCTCAGTTACTGAGTCATGGACCCTCAGACTACTAGATTCACCCAACTATTAATGATTCACCCTCTTTATCTTGATCTTCTCAGCCCCCTACTTAATCCAAAGTTGACATATCTGCCTTTGGCCTCACATTCACATCCTTCCCTGCCTTTCCTGCTCCCTAATTTTCCAAAGCACAAAACTTCCACACTAGTGCCAGAACCTCTGGTTCTTTTCTAGATAGGGTCCCGGCGGCAAGAGCTCAGAAGCTGGTTATATCTGACTGAGAGGTCACAGGGTTTTCTGTTCTGGCCCTGTCCCTCTTACACCCAAGGAAGGGTTCCTAGAGACAACCCCCCCCCAAGAGCCCAACCATCATCAAAGCAGAAAGACAGGAGAGAAGTCTTCAGAGCTGGCAAACACATCACATCAGAGAACCATAAGTCATGACCCTTGCCACTGCTCTGAGAAGGAAGTTTCTGTCCCCAGCCCCACATCCCTTTACAGCCAGCCATGAGGGAACAGACAGGATGCAGCAGCAACAAGAGAAAAAAAGCATTCTTTACCACATTTCCCCTCAAGGGTCTCAGTCACCAACAGGGGCTGTCCTGAGGAGGACAGAGGGGAGACCTGGGTGGTCATGTGATTCTAGTCACCTTCTAGAGGATGGATCGCATCCTAATCCCACAAAGCTGCTCTTCTACAAACTGTGGGCCTCTGGAACACAAAGGCCAGTCTCTACCTTCCAAACCCCTATGCCTAGTCACAGGAGTTTACTCAAATGTATAGATCAAGACAGATTTTTGGACTTCTGGAAGGATAAGACAGGTGGGTCCCAGGTTGTCCCATACCAAAGGGCCTTTCAAAGGGTAATGTGGAGAGTGCTGAAAAAGAGAGAGCAGATACACCTGTCTCTTTGCAGGGCAGCACCTTGTTTATGGCTCAAAGACAGCTAATATCAGAGGTTAGGGTGTCTAATCTTTGTAGCTAGAGATGTAGCCAAGAGCAATTATGTTGTATCACAGGTAGGTAGCAGAATGGTTATTCTTCTGCCCATGGTAAGCTCTCCTCTGTAGCCTGCCCCCATCCCATAAAATTTGTCACCATCAGCAAGGCAATAGCCCTTAAAGGAACACCCTCACCATGCACGCACCTTCTACACAGAACTCCACCTCTTCCAGGTTCCTCAAAGTGATCCGCATAAGGCTGGAGTTGAGCATCAGTTCATTCTTGTGGGCTGGCCACAGGTAGGGTGGTGCTGGGTTCACAAAAAAGATTCTAGTGTCCCCAGTAGACACCTGGTTGTCACAGATAAGGGGGTCTCCGAAGCCACCAATCACCACCTTGTTGCCACCATCCAGCAGACTCTCCTGGGCCACTACATCTTTGCCTTTCAAGTACCGCCACACTCGAACCTGAGTGGACATGGAGGTAAAAGTGTATTGGTCTAACAGGGACAGGATGCCAGACTGGACACCTGGGTCCTTTCCCCTCTTTTGGTCTCACTTGCTCAAGCCAATGTCCATAGTGGACTCCAGCCTTGGGCAGAGATGTTCAAAATTCTGTGAGTCAGCCCCTCAGGAAAAGCTGCAGGGAAGTAGCCACCTACTGTATGACACATAAATAAGAAGGCATACCACCTAAGCATATTCCCAGCCCAAGTCAAACTACAAGGGTCCATCTCAGTCAGGGCTTGTCTGGTATGCAGTGCCAATATTCTAGACCCCCTAGCTCACTACCACTCAGGACCAGAAACTTTAGATGAAGGGACTTAAGAGCAAGAACCCAGCTGGAATCTTCACAACCCTGTGTGTGGGCTGACACCTCCCCCAGGAAGTATAGACCCACTTTGCTCCACAGTCTGCCCGAGTCTGTACAACCAAGGCAGCTCTGAACCACAAAGTCAAGTTGGGGCAATGCAAGTCGGCCCCACCCTCCACCTTCTCCTTTGGGGCCCTGAGGGCAACCCCTCTGACAGACATAGTTGGAGGGTGTAGCCTGCAGCACCCACAGGACAAATCCAGGAGCCCAGACGCTTTTAGGAAAGGAGTTCTTGGAAGGGGCCCCTTCTTTGGGTGCTCTTGGGGTTTAGGCTCTTGGAATGAAGGGAGCAAAAAGACAATGGGCAGCTTGTCCACCTGCCGAGCTCCTGCTAGGCACCTCAGAAGCGCAACACCTATGGATTTGAGGAACCTCATTTACCTGCCTGCCACCGCCCCCCACAACAGTAAACTATTGAGGGAGATAATCCAAACGGGGGGAAGCTCACAGTTTTCACACCTCCCCCACCCCAGCCACACCCAGGAGCAGCGGGGAGGAAGTCGGGAAAATCCTGCAGGGACTTGGCAAAGTGCCTTGGCAGTGAGAGGAGGGGGGCCCAGCCAGGGGATCCCATGAACACACGCTACTCAGAAAGTCACCATCCTTCCCATAGGAGCAAGAACGATCCTATTTCTAGTGAAGTGGTTTGAGGAGCTAGGAGAACCAGCAACGGGTATTCTGAGGTTACCCACTATACCTATTCCAAGGTGCTTTCAAATCCAGCTTTAGTTGAAGCAGAGTCGACTCTTCTACTGTATGGTAGAGGAGACCCAGTTCTTCCAGGAGAACTGAGCACCTGCCCTTGCTCTCTGTGCACGGAAGACTCAGCCATAGTTCTCTGCCTATCTCTCTGCTCTTGCTTCACCGAAACCCAATCACTGCAGCACCTTACGAAGGCTCCCTGTACTTGTGGATTAGACTAGGCACCCTTCCTCTCCGCGGACCACCCCCTCTCGCCCTGGTAGAGGGCCTCACCACAGTCCGAGTTCGTCCCCAATTCACACCTCCCCAAACCCTATTCCTTTCCTTTGACGAGAGTGTACACTTGTTTTCAACAAGAGGGGCTTTGGACAAGGTTGGGGGCAGCCACCACTGCAACTAGGGCCTGGGCACCACGAGAACAACCACAGCGGCCCGGCAGTAACTTTCGCCCGGAGCTGCAGAGTTTTCCGGGACCTGGTGCCCCACCCGCAGGCTTGGCGGTCGCCAAGGGAGCTCGAGCTGGAGCTACAGAAGCGTTCCGGTCTCGTTCCCACGGCTTGGGGCCGGGGTCCCAGCAGGGCGGCCAGCACGCGAAGGGCGGGCCTCGGGGCTGGGAACCACGGGGGAAAAGGGCCCCCGGCTGGGATTCCAGAGGGCTGGGGTCTCGTGGGGTTTTGCCGGGGCCCACCTTGCACGAGTACGTGTGCTGCACCGGGTCCACGTTGAGAATCTCCTCCACCGTACCGGTGAGCACCACATTCGCCTCCTCCTCGCGCCGCTCCAGGGCGCGCTCCGGGCACGTCCCGCTGGCGCCGGGCAGAGTGCGCTCGGCCACCACCAAGAGCAGCAGCAGTGGTAGCAGAGGGGCCGGGCAACATAGCCGCAGGCTGGCCATGGCGCAGCCTAGAACGGCGGAAGGCAGCCGGGAGAGCGCGCGGGATGGACCGTTCAGGGGGCAGGACAGAACTGGACCGCAGCTAGGCGGAGGAGGTGGGAGGGCGGACGGCGTGGGGGCGGGGCGGGGGGGGGGAGTGAGCACG